TAAAGGAAGAGTTTCTTTCAGGATGCATTCTTTACCAATTCTTTGAATTTATGAAATTTAAAAACTTGTTGCACACTGGAAATTTTACGTAGACGTAGAAAATTATCATGCAAGGTATTTTTTAATAGAAATACTATAACATGACCTGTAGCCTCAATGTAAAGAGAGTGCCAGTAATTCCACCAGAACACTTAACTTTCTTGCTTCAAAGCTTAACATTTTTACCTCACTGAAAATAACTACACATTGGGGAAATATTTTATGGTAACTAAATTCACAAAATTCTCAGTTATAAATTTGAATGTCAGTGGTTTAATATACAGTTAGAGATATGCTACCTTCCAATGTGGAATAGTAAAACTGACTTCTTTAGAGAACTGTCATTTCTAAAGAATAAGCTTCCTGAGAAGAAAATTTAACCAATATGAAAAAGCTATTTTGGTGAACAAGTTGAGTCTTTTGTACTGTTTTGTTCTCTGGAGATTTTTCTAGCCCTGAATTAAGAAAAATCACTGTTATGTCCAAATATATTGAACCCAGTATAATGTGGAAAAGCCTACAAAAACAATGCTGTCATTAACCATTTGCAGTGGCTGAATTTTTATACATATCCAAGGGAGTTTTCCATCCCAAGTTAATGACCAGATGAATGAGAAGGAACTATTATAAGAACTTGATACTGAAACTGATTTAAATGACATCTAATGGGTCATTCACTCATCAATTCAGAGGTCTAGTGTAGATTTATGAAGATTATTTCTCAGGTGAAAATTTATTTAAATCAAGACCTGTGATAATGCTAATAAGCACAGAAAGTAGAAATGTTTACATTTTTATATTGAACTGCATTGATTGCATAACCAGCTAATGTAAATCTATATGCAAAGCTTTTGATCACAGCTAAAACATAACAGATCAAAATAAGAGTTTGATCTTAATATCCAAGATCTATGCACCATGATGGGCTGTAGTGTTACTTCCCATTATTTTAAATAGAGATTGAACATTTTTAAACATTGTGTGCAAACTCTGGTTACTTTTATATTTGTACAATCCAAGAATTCCTTCATCTATAACGTACAGTACATTAGTTACAGCTTACTTCTTGTTTTGCTTTTGTTGATATGGTTTTTTGAAAAACATTTAATGAATATTCTCAATCTTTGTCAGTTATTACTCCTTGTATTCCTATCTTCAAATTCACTGATAGTCCAGATTCTAATCTTTCCAATACCCTGCTGTCATTGAGAAAAACTTGTCCCTCTACACTCTCAAAGATATTTCAATCTTGACTTTTTCTGTAGTTGAATTTCCAAAGTAAACATATTAATTAATAAATATTATAAATATGGAAATAATTATGTAATGACATTTACAAATATGGAAAGTAATTATTTCAAGTATTATATGCCACCAATGAAATATTAGAGTCAATCAGAATGTAGGAAACTGTTCCAATTGAGACTTAAGGAATAATATCAGTGCACTACAAATGACTATGCCCTGGATTAAAAGAGACACCTAATAAGTTAACCAAGACAGAATAAAAACAATTGTCTCCTAAAATGCTTCCTCAGTTACTTTTTGAAATCTTTTTGAAACATAAATCAGATTCTCCAGATCTTCTCATTTCACTCAGAAATGTTCTATCTAGATACAAAGTCCTCTGCACTTTGTTTTCTTTACCAGTTTAAAGAACACCTTCTATCATCCCTATTTTTTGTTTCTTTGTTTTACTATACTACATCCTTTCTGGCCTTTATGCTATTCTTAGACATGTCTGTTATTGTTTTGCCTTTTGCCTATTTGTCCATTCTGTCTGAAATGATCTGTCCCAAGACACTGGCAGGACCAATCTTCATTTAAATACTCCTTTCGTCTCAATGTTAAATAATCATGCTATCTAAAATTTCAACCTTCCATGCATCCCGTAATTCTTTTACTTCTTCATTTATACCACGTGTGCTCATATGCTCACCTATGTTCTACTAGATTAAATACTATAAGGATAGGCTTCTGCTTTGCTTTACAAAGATTTTTATTTTTTACTTATGTAGATACTGCCCAATACACATAATAATCAATAAATGCTTATAAAATAATGGAATAAAAATTCCAGTCTCCTTCACTCATAAATGTTTTCCTGAAATGTAATGATAAACTTTGAAACATTGATTACTCCTATTTTCAGAGTCCATAAAATGCCTTCAGATGGATTTATTTCCCATCATCTCATAATTCAAGAATCATTTAAATAAACTTTTTTACCTTCTTTTTCTGTACTTTTATGTCCTTTGCCCATTTTCAACTTGAATTCTTTATTTTTTGGCTCTTGAGGCATTTCAGTTTATTACTTAAATGGAAATTCACCTTTTCTTACATATAGTTACAAGTCCCATTTGTCATGTTTCTCTCTCTGTGTATGTGTGTGTGTGTGTGTGTGTGTGTGTGATTTAATATTGATTTTGCAAGAGGAAGAAACTTTCTTTTCTGTTTAGTTACAAAATTTATTTTTTTTACCTCTACTTTGTGGTTCAGATCTCCGTGTTTGTAAATAACATATTTCTAGCTAGAAAATCTAAAGACTTCCACGGCTTTTTGGAACTAATAAATAAATTTACAAATATTATAAGATACAAAATATGTACACAAAGCTCAGCAACATTTTTGTTTATTAACAAAAACTATTTGAAAAAATAATATATAGACCCATATGTACAATTGCACAAAATGATTATTGATAGATTTACCCAAGCAAGATATACTGAAAGCTATACAATATAAATGAAATTCATGACACAAATAATACAAAGATTCCTTGTTTATACAGCAGAATAATTAATGTTAAAATTCTCATACCACCAAAGCAACTACATAGTTAACAAAATCTATATCAAATTCCAAGACTTTTCTCATAGAAATTGAATAAATAATTCTAAGATTCAAGAGCCCCAATAGGCTAGGTAATCTTAAATGAAGAATATCTTGAATAGAGAAATCATATTAATGGCTATCAAAACATACCACAAAGATTTAGTCAGTGAAATGTTAACCATAGCTATTATAGATGAGCAGAATAGAGAGCTGAGATATAAACATACTGACAATAGAGAGATTATTAACGATATTATATTTGATTTACATTGTGTGGCCAACATGTTTCTTGTAATCACTAACAGAAACTTCTGAAATTCAGAGTCATTAACGTTGTGGCATTAGTTTCTTCAAAAACTAAAATGATGAATTTATAATTGTGGGTTTTTAAATTTTCTTCCACTTTTACAGCTTTATAAATTCACTGTGGAATTGTTTTATGACTCACCCCAAATTAATTAATCCTACACTTTGTAAAGTGTTACATGTCAGCATATTAAATTAATAGATAGGTAAGTAGATATTAGAATAAAAATAATTGAATGTTAAATAAAAGTAGTATACATGTGTACCAATTATCTGCCACTATGTGTATTGCTCAATATTCTTAGTAGAAAATATGATTTATGTATTTTCTAATCATATTTCCATCACAATAAAGCAAAATTGTCATTGATCTGGTCAAATAACTTGTTCCTGGTTTGCCATATTTATTCAAATGTTCTGTGTACAATTGCTTATTTAAGAATAACAATTTGTGATGGCTCTGACAAAATGAGTAAATAAGACAAACAAATTCCCAATATATCGAGTAAATGACTACAAATTAAAAATAACTTTGACCTGTGATATTTAGGAACACATTTTATAATGCTTTTAATTTGTTTCTTTGATTTATTCAGTTTGAACTGACTATGAAATGCATTTAAATACAAAAGAAGTACATAGTGATAGGGTCTGGAACTTGAGCGCTAAGTAATTTTTGTTGCTCTCTGTAGTCTCCTTTATTTCTTTAATGTCCCATGCCTTTTCTTTGAAAATAAAAAAGTCCCCACTTGTTAGTGTTCAGGGTTAGTTCACTCAATTATAGGAGTGACCAACATATACATGGGTAAAAAGCAGTATGTACTAACTTTATCATAACCTTGCTATGTGACTGAAGGTGTTTTCTATTCGTGTTAGTACAATAACAAAATTTGAAAATGTTTTCTAGAATAAGAGCAGTTTTAACAGGTTAAGTATTTTGACTTAGGACCTGAAATAATGTGTGTTCAGCATCAGTTGCTGTGTTTGTGACAAAGTAGCTTCACTGGAGCTTCATGTACCAATTCCCTAGGTCAGTCTGGATAGATTCTTGAGCTAAATCCTGGAAATTCAGCATAAGGGAGAATGTTAGTTATGCAGGGCATTCACAAATGTATGCAGTGCCACTCACTAACATCTACAAAGGATCCATTTTATAAATTGTCAAAGAAGCCATTGTGGCAGCATGACACCAGAGACGAGCTGTCAATTCTATTATTAAATTGACATTCCACACATGCTGCCCTCAAATGGAGGACCCTTCATGAAACTAGTCTCCCACTGCCCAAACTCCAACCCAGTTACTGTCTTCTTTCTTATCTGCTTCTCAAACAGATATCAGTTGATGTTAAAAGTGTTGGACAAAAGAGCCATGCTTCTGATTTATTGACAGCAGCCATTTGAAGCACCTGGGAGAGAGTCTCTATGACACTGTTCTTGTTCAAGGAGGTTAGAATGATTGTTAGAGAAACTGTGACACCTCCCAGGGTTGTGTCAATCAAGCATTTGAGAATTAAAACAAGAGCAACAACAGCACAACAAAAAGTATTTTTCAGCAAGACAATGAAGACTACTGTAATCCTATTTGTGAAAAGAAAGAACAACGGAATGTCTCAACCTGTGGAGTACTACATATACCAGTGCATGCTTCTGAGAGTGAAAAGGAAAGGGATGACAGGCCTTATCCAGCAAGTGAGGGTTTAACGCATCTGGTTGTGAATTCTCTGGGGGTCTCCATTGTTCTCCACTGGAGTCATGTGTGCTCAACAGGCATTCAATGAACAGGGTCTTCCTTGTTCATTTGCTTAATGCCGTTCTTATTGTTACAGGTCCCCAAGCTTGGGTACACCAGGTAGCCAGTGTGATCCAGCCTGCTGTGAGGCCTCTAAAAGATGACAAGTCCCAAGAGATGGCTGTTGTTCTCGGGAGTGTCTTGCTGTAGATATCCTGTGACTGACAGCTGATGGAAAGAAGGACAGGGAGATTTTTACATCTGTTTACTGCTTTGACATTTCTTCATTCCTTGACACATTTTGTCTATTGTTATTCATGGAAGAGCTAAAATTCCTGACCTTCCAGGGCAAACACCACAAACCATAAAGCTGTAGGACTATGGAACCACACACACACACACACACACACACACACACACACACACACACACACACACACATATAAAATGGATCACGCTTACCACTTAATGGAATGCTGTGATAGTCTGGCGATTAGAATATAAACATTCCTAACATTCTTCAGACATTTCTCTTTGTGTGACTCCTAGATAAAACAGAAATCTAATATACTATTTATTTCCAGTATGTTGTCAACAGACAGAGGTCTAATTTATAAATGTTTCTGTCATGTCCTGACTATTTCTGCTTTAAGCTATTTATTTTGCATTATAGTCACAGTTCCTTAGTATTTTTTATTACAGAAAATATACCGGCTTAGTGGAATTAAAATTTCTTTTGCAGTGTGATGATCAGTTCATTTTATTCACCTAGTCTTACATTTTAAAAGTGTTTTCTTCCTTCAATTGTTTACTAGTTAACACTAAATAGAGTGCTGTAATGCTTGATTCTATGATTTCTAACTGGATTTTCATCTACTGATATCTCATCTATAATCATAAAGAATAATAAAATCTGAGGCATGGAAAAAATATCATAGAATTTTCCTGAATGAAGAAATCAAGTTGAGGAATTCCCAGGCTCATCATGCTATCTTAAACTTTCTGAAAAATATTTTACTACAACATGTAATTTACTCAACGTGACTGGGTTTTGTATGCTATTGAAAATGCTTTCTATCATTTACTGGCTTTAGGATAATGAGATTTTAAGGCCTTTATCTATAGCCTATGTTTCACAATGAAGACTGAAAGCCAAGCTTAAGCACAACTGCACTTCCCAGCTTAATAAAGGATTGAGTTATGTATAGCCTGGAAATACACACACACACACACACACACACACACACACACACACACATCAGTATAGACAGATGCAGAACTATGTACTTTGCATAACAAGCTTGCCTATAAAAAATGCATTTGATAGACCAAAAATAATAAAGCTAAGAAAATGAAGAGCCCCAAACTTACTAAATTTACTTTAATTATTTTAATTACTAAAGCAACTACATATATGTATATGTATACAAGTAATTTATTCATACAGTTAGTTCTTGTTTACATATATAAATTCCTTCTTTTTATCATTTTTAGAATATAATCATTTAAAGTGATAATGTTCATGTGCATTGAGTGTGAAATGCCAAGTTCTTCCTGCAGGATTCTTCAGCCAGGCAAGTATAAGGAAGAACTTGTCATTAACTGAGATTAAGACAACTCATGGAAGAAGGAAGCTGAATAAGTAATATGAGATAAAATGAGGAATTATCTTTGCAGAGCATTTTGTAGATGCCATACATTGACATTTCTAAAACATCTCTATGTGCAAATAAAAATTGATTAATAATAAATCATGTACAGGTAGGACCAGGACTATGATAATTTTTAATATTTTCTAAAGTATAATAGAGAGTATTTGGAGATGCCAACAAGCCAAATTTTATAATTACTTTGGGTCAAAACAATTTTCTACATTTAAATAATAATTATCAAATTTATATAGAATTCTATAAGACTTAAATGGAAATACATATATAGCCTGTCCTTGAGCACCTATTTGTGACTAATAATGTGTAGTTTGCATGACTGCATGATAATAATGTATAGTGAAATGGAAAGAGTACTGATTCAAAGCAAGTGTGTCAGCCATCTTTATTGTGGATAATAGTGTTTACAATGATTGTATCAATTAAAATATGTAAAGAGTTAAAAACCTGTCAGGAACACTGTAGTTGCCTGTTACTGTTTGTTTCTTCTTTTGTAATTTGCAATTGATAAGTTTTCAACTTTTATTCCTCAACTCTAATATGTCATACAATCATATATAACTCATGTGGTTGACTAGAGAAAATATTTTTTTAGTGTGCTTAAGGAGACTTCCCTATAGGAAGATGCTTTAGACTGCATGATTTATAAAGACTTACAAATGTATTGTTTATAGATGTAAAGGATGAGAAGAGAGCTGGAAACATGATGTGTTGATGACAACTTGTTTTCCATTGACCGAGTCTTCAATGTCCCTTCTACATTATAGAAAAGACACAGGGAGCAGGAAACACTCTGAAGTCTCTTTTGTAAGGACTTCATTAATCCCATTGCCACTGACTTAATCACTTCTCTAGAGAACCCACCTTCTAACATTAATTTTTTTTAATTCATTTGTTTTTATCAGTCGTGGGGCTTGAACTCTGGGCCTAAGTGTTGTCCCAGAGCTCTTCAGCTCAAGGCCAGAGCTCCACCACTTGAGCCACAGCCTTATTTCTGGTTTTTCTGGTGGTTAATGGGAGAAAAGAGTCTCACGGCTTTTCCTGCCAGGACTGGCTTTGAACCTTGATCCTCAGATCTCAGCCTCCTGAGTAGCTAGGATTACAGGCATGAGCTACTGGTGCCTGGCTCTAACTTTTATTTTGAATAAACCAGAGGAGCAGACATTAGAGACCTTTCCAATTGTCAAATAAGAGATGATGGTAGTAATGGGAAGGAGAAAGGTTGTGTTTTTGTTTTTTTGTTGTTGATTAGAAAGAATAACTTGATTTTTCTTTAAAGGACAAATCCAGGTTATAGAAATCAATAAGAAAATTGAAAGTAACCAGGAAATATAAAAACAGGCTTTACTGTTAGCAATAAGAATATCCTCTGAAACACTGACAGAAGGATTTCAACAAAACAATGGTCTGAAAGCTAAGTTTTGCCAGGCACTAGTGGCTCACACCTGTAATCCTAGCTACTCAGGAGGCTGAGATCTGAGGATCATGGTTCAAAGCCAGTCCCAGAAGGAAAGCCCATGGACTCTGATCTCCAATTAACCGCCGGAAAACCGGAAGTGGCGCTGTGGGACAAGTGGTAGAGCACTAGCCTTGAGCTGAAGTGCTCAGGGACAGCGCCCAAGCCCAGAGTTCAAGCCCCAGGACTGACGGAAAAAAAAAAATGCTACTTCTATAACCCTTTACCTGCAACTCTTTCCTTACTGCCATAGAATTCAGTTTAAATACAATTCTCTAGAGAAATTATCCAAGATTTTCTAAGATTTGGCACTCTCCTATAGTATGGTTGTGGATTTATGTATAATACTGATATTTATTCCCAGCTACTGAAAGTTGCTGGTACATAGACCAGCCAATTAATAGAGGTCTCAAATAAGTGAATATTCATTTGCCTCTGTTATGCTTTTATTTATTCCTTTGGCTTTTTGGAGATGTATATCATTTTTGTAATCCACATGTTTTCTTCTGCAAGGCTCAGCAGGAATTGTTGTATCAAATGGTATATTTTATTCCTCAGCATGTGCAAGGCTCTGAGCAACCATTTTTCTTTGTGTAGAGCTTAATATATCTTTGAATAATTAGTAGTTAAAACATTGAAGTCTTTCTTTTGGCAAATTACCATGATAATAATAAAAGCACCAAAAAATGTCTTTTTTCATGTCTTAATAAAATACAATTAAATTTTAATAAAGGCTCATCATTCAAATTCAACACATCCTGAGGGAGGTATCAGCAGTGTTACAACTAGACCAATTAAATAGCCAGTTGTAGTTAAACTCTTTAATTCACATAAAGGTGAGTGTAATTCTGTACTTACCATTCCAGGATTGCTCGTGATTTTTCCCCCTTAAGAGAATGTCCGTTTTTATTCAGCTTGGTCTCGATTAGTATGTTACAAAGAGTTCTTACTTGATTATATATTTTTCTTAATATAATAATGATAATGTTTCTACCATTCTTAACTCATTGTCCATTTTTCTTCCAACAGATTAATAAGTCTAAATACTATCATTTTAAAATTCATTTCCTCTCATATAATTTAATGCCATTACAGGCACAGAGAAGGAAGACAAAAAGACAACTTGAACATATCTTTTTAAATGTGGGGAATTCATTAAAAATGCAAGAAGAAGCAATATTTTCTAAACATATAAAATATCTATGAACAAAATTCATAATCATTAAAATTTCTCTTTTGAAATAGTTTATAAAACATTAATAAAAAAACAAGTTAATATATGCTACCTTCATTTTGTCATTCCTCCAAAATTAATTGGGATCCACATTTTCCTTTTACTAAGGATGATAATCAGGCTTCTGGGCCAGATACTTTGTGATATTTTCTTTGACCCTGTAAATAACTCTTATAAACATGCATTTATATCAACACAGAAGTGTACAAATTACATTTCAAAATAATCAGGAGTTTTGCTGGAGAGTTATGGAAAATAACTGAAGAATTCGGGGATATTACCTTTCTTCATCTCAATTTGCTACTGATTCTTGAGGGAAGCTAAGTACACATGTATTTATTTTGTTCTTTGTTTTGATTATTACTGAACAGACCTCAGTTTTGCTTAAACAGAAATTTAAAATTGCAACATGAAATATATGTTTCATATTTCAAGTCCAATAGATCACGATTACAGCTCTTATTTTATACATTTATCTGGCAAAGTTGAAAAAGCAAGCAAAACTCAATGCAGTTTTTTTTCTTTTTTTCCTAACTTCTCTTATGGCCAGGAAATGGTTTTAAAATATAACTGAGTTCTAGGGAAATTTAATGGATTAGATTTTTAACAATCAAAGGACAAGCATTTTTAAAGGATTTTATATTTAAATTTCATATTTTATTTTTTCATATCTATTTTTGACAATAGCCAGTGTTCTCCTATGTTTTTCTTCTTATAAATGTGACTGCTACTTAAAAGGTATTGTTAGAAGAGGAGTACATTGGAACAAAACAGAGGATTATTTAGAAACAAATGAAAACATTGCCATTCATTTGATAACCAACCAAATAATTAAAACTGCTTCACTTACTTTCATTTCTTATACATACTA